AAAAACTCCATAACTAATGTTAAGAGTACTATGTTAAACCATATATCTGTACAAAGGGAGATAACTCATTTTTTAAAAGACATTCTTTGGTAAATTGTTTGAGGAATTTTGTGGCAGGTTTATATGTTATATTGTGTAAACTAATTTTCTGAATGCTACATGTATATATATTTATTTTTTTTTTATTAAATGAAATCCTTTAATTAGATAATAATCTATTTTTATTAAGGTATATATTTCATTACATTACATTGTGTAGATAAAAGTTGTTGACATTTTATAGATAAGTTACAAATCTTTATTAGTTTGTGACATATGAAAGAAAATTTGATTGTAATTTGAAAATAGATATACATTGTATTACATCATATCTAATTTTAGAGAACTATTAATCATATCTAATGTTAGAGTGTTATAGGTTTTCCTCACTTTTTTCATCATGTTTGAAGATATTGATTGACAATTGGTATATAGTTTTATCATGACAAGTTACAGATCAAGTTCAAATTTTTGTTTCGGTCTGATAATTTTGTGCAGAGTTATATTCCTTGCACTTGAAAAAATTCACTCGTATATTCAGTTTTCCACACTGTTTTTAGTCATGCTTGAAGATATTGACGATATTTTCTTTTTGTTTACACCATGACAAGTTATAGAACAAGTTAGCAGTTTGTTCCGGTATAATGAGTTTTTACCCGGTAGAGGACTATGTATTGCCATGCAATACTCTCAGAATGCTTGTTTTAGTACAGGTTAATTATTTGAAATAAATGACTAACAAACATTAAATCATTTGAAAAAAAAATTCTGCAATAATTTATGTTGTCATTTTAAGATTTCAGTTTATATATGTATCAACAATGAAATTTGGTTGTATAAATTGTGTCACTATGTTTGTAATTGTCGAACTAGTATAACAATACTATTGTCTAAATCTACAGAAATTGAACATGCTAAGTAACTGAAATAACAATGTCACTAGGTCACTTGTAACTTATCTCTTAAATAAGGACTATGTGGGGTATAACAGCTTGCTTACTACAGGCTCTTCATAATCATTTTGTTAAATAATTCTACAAAGAAGGGGATATAGATAAAAGAAGATGTGGTATGAGTGCCAATGCAAACTCTCCATCCAAGTCACAATATGTAAAAGTAAACCATTATAGGTCAAAGTGCGGTCTTCAAAACGGAGCCTTGGCTCACGCCGAACAGCAAGCTATCAAGGGCCCCAAAAATGACTAGTGTAAAACCATTCAAACGGGAAAACCAACGGTCTAATCTATATGAAAAATGAGAAACGAGAAACACTTATGAACCACATCAACAAACGACAACTACTGAACATCAGATTCCTGACTTAGGACAGGTGCAAACAAATGTTGCGGGTTTAAACGTTTTAATAGGTACCAACCTTCACCCTTATCTGAAACAATAGTGTAACATCACAACATAGAAAGACACACTATAAAATATCAATTGAAATGGCATAACTCAATCAAAAGACATTTTAACACAAGTGAACATACACTGAACAAATAAATTTGATCTATGACACAATGTAAATACAAAATCAATAAAATAAGGGGTTAGATGTTAAACGATTTCAGAAAAATAACCATAACCTTGAACAAAATGCGGCCAAATAGAATAATGTACACAGGTAAATGAAAATAATTTTGTCGTAAGGTATACAGTACAAATGGAGAACGGAAATATTTTTTACAAAATAGATAATTTTGTTGTTCATAGTACGAGAACAGAAGTGAAAATTTATAGTCATACCAAACACTTATAAAAGCTGTTATATATAAAAAATAGAGAGACTAGATATAACACCAAATTAGTAAACATTAAATAACAAAAATGCATTACAAATTGTATCAACAGGTCAAATTAACAAGAAAGTACGATTTGAGAGTACTCGCAGTTACTGAAAGCTAGTTAAAAGCCAAAAACAATTAATAATAAAAAATCATGCATCAGAGACTTAAATCAACCTAAACACATCCCAGGGATTTAGTATTTTAACGTCATGGACAGTCAAAGAAGACATGACTTGTGCAAAGCCAAAAATAAAAGTATTGACAGGCAGTAGGATAGTTATGAGTTAACCTCTATATAGAAAAAATGAACGTGGATGTGTATATATACATCCCGTTTGAAAAGAATACGAATTTAGTTATGTTTTAATTTGCTGATGACAAAATCGATATTTGTGCCAACGTAAACTATATTCAAAGATCTAATTACAACATTGGTAAGATAACCTTTACTAATAAGTTTGTTTAAAGGTTCGATGAGTTTACATGGATCACATAGTGATTTCCATGCTTTTAGTACAATATTACAGTAAAATTTAGGATGTGAAATACCGTTTTTGATAAGTTTTCTACAGGTACAGCCAAATTTACTAATCAAATCTTTGTATCTATGAAAGAATTTAGTAAAAGTTTTAAGTAATTTATGGTAACGAAATCCCTGACTTAATAATTTACCAGTGATGCATTGATTACGTTCGTTAAAATCTTCGACATCACTACACATACTGGCATAACAAAAGAGTTGGGATATATAAACACCGTATGATGGAGCCAAAGGAACATCACCGTCTCAAAGGGAAAATTAACAATAGGGAATGAAAAATCGTCTCTTTTGTCGTAAATTTTAGTATGGAGTTTCCCTTTAGAAATTGAAATGTCTAAATCTAGAAAAGGACAACTACTGCTGTTTATGTTAGATTTAGTTAAAGTAAGTTCCTTTGGGTAGTATATTTAGAGAACTCTGGATTATTTAACGAAAAAATATCATCAAGATAACGGTAGGTATTATATTGAATGTATCAACCAAATGTAACAATGATGCGTCTTTACTGAGTTTGGTCATAAACTGAGATTCATAGCAATACAGGAATAAATCTGCTATTAAAGGGGCGCAGTAAGTGCCCATAGGAATACCTACTACCTGTCGATACACTTTATAGCCAAAACGTACATATATGTTGTCCAGGAGAAAATTTAAAGCTTCAATCATATCTTCACATTTCCAGTAAGTGTATCTAGCATACTTTCCTTTTTCGTTACAGAAAAAGGCTTTAAACGAGTTACAGCAGATAAATTTGCAATGAGATTTTTCAAAAGACCATTTAATTAAATATGAAAACTTTTTCTTGATAAGATTGTGTGGAAGTGTAGTGTAGAGAGTAGAAAAATCATAACCGTCAACAGAATTAAAAGGACCATCAAAACTTTAAAGCATGTATTTTATCTAAAACCTCTAAAGAATTTTTAACACTCCAAAAATAATTAATACCATTATTTTCATAATGGAATTAATAGTCTGTTAATGTATCCTTGACTAAGAATAATGAAATTGCAAGAAACATATTACTTTGAATGTTGTAGATTGTTCAGGTAGTCTTGAGCTATTTCTTTGTACAAAAGAACAACAAGTAGTCATCTTCACTTCACACACATATATATGACCTATATATATCTTGACAAACAAATACAAAAGCCATAGACATTGAAAACAATTCATATCTATTCTATTGTCAGTCAGCCTACCTACCATGAACTGAAAAGTCTCCTAAGATTCAGTAGGTAAATTATGTGAAAATCAAGACTTGAATAAAAAATATCCCAATATTAGAGACAATGGCGTCATTTTTCCTCAGAGCTTTCAGCTCTTTGATTGATGACTATGGAAAAGAGTTTTTTTGAACTACCTGTATATCAATGTATATGCAGCTTGTTCACATATCTTTGTTGCACAAGCAGATGTTGCGGTTGCCTATTTAATTTCAACACCAGCATAATCATTGAACAGAAGAAGTAAGCAACTACCTTGTTAATGGCATGGTAAGCCTCAGATTACTACAATTTTGTTAAGATTATTACTATGTCCTGTTCCACCTGACCATAAAGAAAAATATTTTCATTCTAGTTAAGTCTAGCTTAAATATTGGAATAACGCCAGTATACATAGTGATCCCTTGTTGTACACTACATTTCTGCAAGAATGGTACCGTAGTTACGATTTTCTATACTTTCTTGACAAATCTTTTGATGTTTGGCTTAAGTATAAAAATGTGGCATACACTTGGTACCAAAGTCACTTGGTTCTACTAAAGGTATGTCAAGACAAAACACTCTGTGACCTTATATAAGAATTTTGTTGACTTTGATATCTTATGGTGGCCATCTTGGAAATAGCCGCCATTTTGAAATTTCAACTGTGTCCATATGTAATATTGTTTGAAGCATTCAGCATGTCTAACATTCCAAATTTGAACTTGTATATGTTATTATTAAGTGATCTTTGTTGATTTTGATATTTTGAGACAGCCATCTTGGAAAAACCTGCCATATTGAAATTTCAAGGTGGGTCAATAGTTTATATTTTTCAAAACACCCTGAACTTCTATCATGCCAAATTTGGTTTTGATTTTGACCTTATAAAGGTGATATATGTTGATTTGGATATTTTATGGTGGCCATCTTGAAAAAAACGCCACATTGAAATTTCAAGGTGGGTCCATAGCTTATATTCATCATATTGTTTTGAAACACCCAGAACTATTATCATCAAACCCACAATTTTTTCACTGATCTGCTGGACTATAGACAATTCTGCGTCTTTCAACACCTTCTTCGTAAAAATCTAACCATTAATGCCCTCAAATTATTTTTTTGAAAAAATGTGTTTTTGTTTGAAATATATAACAAAAAAATATAGGTGACAAATACCTTTGGCCATGTACTATAGGTAATTCACTCTTAAAATATCTCTGTTTATTCAATAGATATTTTAGAATGTGATCATAATTTATAGAGTTGTTACTCCCAACCACCATCAATTACCCAAGAGTGACTTTTACATTATGTACACTTTGTTGTGTAATACAATCAATTTTAATCATTGAATTAATTTGTGAAAAACTTTTTAATGTATTTTGATTTTATATTTTTTATTAAGTTTTTGTTTGAATTACTTTTTAGACCTGTTAGGAATGTTAAAAGTGTGATGTTTTCACTGAGAATAGTTGCTACTGACCATTATTTGTGTCCTCCTATCCCAGAATTGGATGTCCAGTACTCTGATTTGACACAGTCAGAGATATGGAGAGTCCCTGTAATTAGGGTATATGGATCAACTCCAAGTGGTATGTAAAAATGTATGTCAAGTAAATGTATCATAAGAATGCGAATCCTACATGTACAGGCCTTAGACACCCTATATATCTATCTTTGGTTGACAATCTTGATACTGCTATTAATAAATAAATAGTTTAAAACTGTAAATTTTATTTTGAACTTCTTACTAGAAAAATACATTTGTAAGGTAAAAAAAACAAATTCTTATAAACCTTTATGCAACTTTTCTTAGACTAATCCATTTACCCAGAGGTCAAATTATAATTTTATGTATTGGCGATACACTTTTATTGTCCAGGCTTACCTACATTTAAAAGAAAGGAGGAATGTTTGTTTTAGCACTGTCAAACATTTTATAGTTATTAATCAGTTTTAAATATGATCTGCCTTTTATTGATAGGTCAGAAAACATGCATGCATGTTCATGGAGTTTTTCCTTATTTGTATGTGCCATATGATGGAACCCAACCATGGGACCGTTATCTGAAGTTGTTTGCTAAAAGTTTGGACAAAGCTTTGAATGTTAGTTTGAATAAAGTCAACTCTAATACACAGCATGTTTATAAAATCAACCTGGTGTCAGGGATGTAAGTATGGAAATGTATGAATTGGAAAATTTGTATTTAAACAGTTGTATTGCATCCTTTGGCTTTATATTGTTTGTGCACTCTCAAAAAATTATGATATTGTTTATCCCTACTTTTAAAAGAGTAATGCCCCTTAGAAAAATGCATCGTAAGCGCTCTCATGTGTACAATTCTTGCCAGATTTTTATGAAACTTATATTATATGTTTATATCAGCAATGTCTTTGAAAAGTTTGAAAATCAGCGCTGATCAATTATTTTTATACGACCGCAAAAAAATTTTGCAGTCCTATATTGGTATGACATTGGTGTTGTCGTCGTCCGAAGACACATTGGTTTTCGCACAATAAATTTAGTTTAAGGTTGGGAATTTTTATCTTTTGGAAAAAGGGGGTGGGGGGTTGTTGGGGCAATTTTTTTCAGATTTCAGAAATTAAACAAAATTTCTTCACATATTTTTTTTTTTTTAAAAAAAGGGTGGGGGTTCAATACTAAACAGCATAGTGTATTGCACAAAAGCAAAAAAAAAAAGGGTTAATTTTCATTAATTTTTTTTGGGGGTGGGGGGTCAATTCGCACAGGCACAGTGTATTGCACAAAAGCAAAAAATAAAATAAATTCAAATCATATAACAATTCTAAGTTCTTTGACTACAGTTATTCTGTGGTAGAAACCTATTATGTGTCAAATATTTAATTACAATCCAAATTCAGACCTGTATCAAGTGTGAATATTGTGTCCATTTTTGCCCCAACTGTTCAGGTTTGGACCTCTGCGGTTGTATCCAGCTGCGACCGGTGAAGCAATTTATTTAAAAGAGTTATGCCCTTAGAAACATTAATTATATGGAAAATTGCATCGTTAGCACCCTCATGTGTACAATTCTTGCCAGATTTTAAAGAACAAAAAAAGGTGTTTTTATGCCCCCACCGTAGCGGAGGGTGCATTAAGTTTTACCCTTGTCCGTCTATACATACGTCCCAAAGTTAGTTTCCATTCTTTAACTTTAGTTTGCCTCAACCAAATGTTATGAAACTTATACACAATGCTTATTACCACAAAACACAGATCAAGTTTGAATTTTGGTGGGGTCACTTTTACCGTTCTAGAGTTATGCCCTTTACAAATGGAAAAATTGCTGAATTTTTCGTTTCTGTTCTCTAACTTTAGTTTGCGTCAACGAAATGTTATGAAACTTATACACAATGCTTATTACCACAAAATACGGATCAAGTGTGAATTTTGGTGGCGTCACTTTTACTGTTCTAGAATCATGCCCCTTTACAAATGGAAAAATTGCTGAATTTTTCGTTTCCGTTCTCTAACTTTAGTTTGCGTCAACGAAATGTTATGAAACTTATACACAATGCTTATTTCCACAAAATACGGATCAAGTGTGAATTTTGGTGGTTTCGAATTCACTTTCACCGTTCTAGAGTTATGCCCCTTTACAAATGGAAAAATTGCTGAAATATTCATTTCTGTTCTCTAACTTTAGTTTGCCTCAACCAAATGTTATGAAACTTATGCACAATGCTAATTACCACAAAACACAGATCAAGTTCGAATTTTGGTGGCGTCCCTATTACCGTGGTAGAGTTATGCCCCTTTACAAATGGAAAAAATTGCTGAATTTTTCGTTTCCGTTCTCTTTCTTTAGTTTGCGTCAACGAAATGTTATGAAACTTATACACAATGCTTATTACCACAAAATACAGTCAAGTGTGAATTTTGGTGGCGTCACTTTTACCGTTCTAGAGTTATGCTCCTTTACAAATGGAAAAATTTTTCGTTTCCGTTCTCTAACTTAAGTTTGCCTGAACTAAATGTTATGAAATTTATTAACAATGCTTATTACTACAAACTCAGATCAAGTACAAATTTGGGTAGCGTCACTTTTACAGTTCTTGAGTTATGTCCCTTTATAACGTTATATGCACACAGGGGCATTATATCTGAGTCCCATGGACACATTCCCCATTTATATTTGTTGTTAATGCCCTAGCTTGGATAGATAAAATATATAGATTTTATATATTTGCTAAAAAATATTCTGATCCCCAATTTGATGAAAAAAAATATTGTAGTCAAACAGATGAGAAAAAAAAATATTCCGGAACCAGATTTTCCACATACCTTATAGTGTTAAATTTTGTAAAAAATAATTTGATTGATAGGTGTCGAAAAACTGAAAAAAAAATCTTGCTTTGCGCGAAAAAAAATTTCTGACTCAGGCAAAAAACAATACCCCCCCCCCCCTTGAAGTTAAATGGTTGCTCCCTAATCACTGAAATTTGTGACATACCGATATTTGTGTTCTTGGACACCACCTATTCTACATCTATTACTCGTTACCTGAATATATTTATGCCCTTCTAGTAATCAATCTATATTCTCAAAAGAAAATGTTGTCATCATTGAACAGCAGAATATATCGACTTAATCATTTTGGTTATATTACTCGAAGAAATTTGAAAACCGATATTTGAAACAGTAAGTTTTGAATGAAAGAAATTATCGGTGGTTACTGGTAATGGAAATGAACAAAATCTGGAAATCGCAAATTTAAAAAAAAAAAAAAAAAAATCGGGGCGGGACTATTCCAGAGGGGTGGACAGGGATGAAAATCTATCAATTAATTTTAATTGGCCTAATGTAGCATTGGATTTTTGCCAATTTCACATGGATATCTTATGGTCTATGCATTGCCATTTACAATTAATCCAAGACATACAGGATGATAGTGAATATAATACTCAATTGCCAAAAAACAACATACATGTGTTTTATTAAACAGGCTGTTATACTTAATAAAAGGTAGTACTTTTTTATTTTTTATTCAGACCAATGTATGGATACCATGAAAAGGAAGAACAGTTCTTAAAGATTTTCTTATACAATCCCAGAATGGTCAGGAAGTAAGTATAAACACCAATAACCATTGCTCACCACACCAAGCCAAGAAAGTGAATGTGTCACCCTAGGAGTCCCAATTTCGCTTTAAAGAAGCAAAAAGGAAAAGTTTTTGTTGCCCTTGATTTTCAATAAAATTCTATGTCGTCTTGTGATTTTTTGCAAATTTCACTTTAGTCTATCTAAATGCACATGATTCCGATTATTTACAGAATTCATACATGTTACTATATTGACCATGGCTATGATTATCCTTAATTATGACACATATATTGCTTTAAATTTGCATGTCATTGTTTATTACCTTTCAGCCAGGTAAATTTTCAAATCCAAACAGAATGTTGTTTAACCCTTTCATCCCCAACGATGCCTTAAGGTATCTCCAGCTGGTGTGTGCCAAATGATGCCTAAAGGCATTGCCTCCTGTAGGCTAGTTGGTCTATTTATAATCAATTTTGCTTAGAAACAACAGGGCTAATGAACAGAGAAATTGACACAGTCATGGAGGGTATTATGAAAATTGCTTCTATGCTTTTTTTGTGCAATCATACAGTTTAAAATGGGACAAATACATTTAAAACTTGGATCAAGACGTGGAAGAACTAATGGCTTTCTCCATGGAGCAACCGGGGTTTAAGGGGGTAGGCCTTGGTAGCCCCCAAATTTTCTCTTGTTTAATTTTTCTTATATTTACACCAATTAAAGGGTAGGGGTCCATGCATCATCTGCCAAAGTCTTGTTGAAATTAACTGTTGCATTGTAGCCTTTTCAATAGCAAAAAGTGATACTTAAAGCGATGTCCGTGCAATAACTTGATAATGCTTTGACAAAATCTTTTTAAATTAAGATATGTTGTTTCCTGTGACCAAATGAAGGTCAAGTTCGATTTTCACGATTTTAGCTTTTATCAATGTTGAGTTGTAGACCTTTCAATATATAGCGAAAAGTGATATTTAGAGCGTTGTCTGTGCAATAACTTGATTACACTTTGACAAAATCTTTTCAAATTTAGCTATGTTGTTTCCTGTGACTAAATGAAGGTCAAGTTTGATTTTCACAGTTTTAGCTTTTATCATCGTTGAGTTTTAGAAGTTTTTAAGTAGCGAAAAGTGATACTTAGATTGATTTTGGCATTTCTGAACCCTACAAAAAATCATTTATTTTTTTACTTGATCCTGTTAAGTGGTCCAGATTTGCAAATATCATTTTCATGTAGGAAAATCCGGTTTGCTGTCACTCTGACAGCCTCTTGTTTTATCTCCATTGTAAATTCAGATAACCAAACAAAAAAGGTACAGAACTAAATTGTATTTATTATCATGATTTACTAACCAGTTTAGTTCATTATGTATGAAACTGCCCCTTTATTAATAAAAGCAAAACTGGTCTGGTCCATTACAGACTAACAGTGCATTTAACCATTTAATACAGGGCTATTATGAATAAACAGGGTTTTTATGATTTTACTGTAGCATACATTTTATAACAAAACATAATGCTGTAGAACATGTAGGATCCACAGCCTATCACTTCATTGTCAGTTTCTGTGTTGGGTTCTGTAACCCACCGGAGCAGTGTACTATTAACCTTAAGACATTTGACAGGAGTTGACATTTTGGAATATTGTGATTTGTCATTTTTCTTATCACCATTTTATTACATTCGTGTGGCTTCATCACCCAAGCTGGACATCAAGAGAAGTGAATTTCTCAAGTATCAGCTTGGGGTTTGTTTTTCTAATTATAACCTCCTAATTGATTTCTTCAAATGGTAAAATTCATTAGATTACTATTGCTGATTAAACAATTATTAGTTTGATTTAAGGTGATAATTAATACTTCAAAGACTTGCACATTGTCATTGAACATGTTGAACCAATTTGATCGTTGTTTAAAATAATTGTTTTTATCAAAGTTCGTAGATCAAGTTTGTGAGTGTTGTCCGTAAATACAGTCAAATTATTTTTGAAAAATTTATTAAACTGGTCCTGAGATGTTTTTTTATACAACGCAAATAACACATTCAGAAATAGTAAATCAGACGATCACGTGATCGAAGTAAAAAATGCGTGAAATTTGAAAAAAAAAAAAATAGAAAAAAATATAGTGACGCGATTGATTTGGATAGCGCTGTGCTCAGTTAAATAGAACAGCGGAAAATTGCGATAGGGCTGAATACTGCAGTGCTTAAACCACCTGAGGAGAACACTGGCTAAATTCAATGTTTTGACAGTCTGTCACTTTCTAAGTATTGGGTACAATCTTTGTGCAAATGTAGGTTATCTGTTAGCATTAACTTGAACTTGGATGGATGTTCAGATCATATCTTCTATAACATTGTATAATATTGCCCTTTATATTTGAAAACCAAAGATATACAGTTAAGTAAAGCCTATCAACCAATAGCCTAAGCAATTAAACCTTATAACTTCATTATTCAATCCATTTTTATGCCCCCGTCGTAGCGGTGGGGGCATTAAGTTTTACCCTTGTCCGTCTGTACGTACGTACGAACGTACGTCCCAAAATTGGTTTCTGTTCTCTAACTTGAGTTTGCCTTGACCAAATGTTATGAAACTTATATACAATGCTTATTACCACAAAACACAGATCAAGTTTGAATTTTGGTGGCGTCACTATAACCGTTCTAGAGTAATGCCCCTTTATAAATGGAAAAATTGCTAAATTTTTAGTTTCCGTTCTCTAACTTAAGTTTGCCTCAACCAAATGTTATGAAACTTATACACAATGTTTATTACCACAAAACAGAGATCAAGTTTGAATTTTGGTGGCGTAACTTTAACTGTTCTAGAGTTATGCCCCTTTATAAATGGAAAAATTGCAAAATTTTTAGTTTTCGTTCTCTAACTTAATTTTGCCTCAACCAAATGTTATGAAACTTATACACAATGCTTATTACCACAAAACACAGATCAAGTTTGAATTTTGGTGGTGTCACTTTAACTGTTCTAGAGTTATGCTCCTTTATAAATGGAAAAATTGCAAAATGTTTATTTTCTACTAAATATCAAGTAATTTTTAAAATTGGAGTTATCTTCCTTTGTCCATGATTATAGTTGAATCAACTACAATCAATGCTTTATACAATGCAATGTTTAATTTTGACTTCCACTTATAAAACACAGATCAAGTTAAATTTGGATAGTGTCACTTTAACCATTATTGAATTATGCCCCTTTATAAATCGAAAGATTGCAAAATTTTTAGTTTCCATTCTGTAACTTAAGTTTGCCCCAACCAAACATTATGAAATCTATACACAATATTCATTACCACAAAACTAAGATCAAGTACACATTTTTTGTTTCCCTTTCTAACTTGAGTTTGCCTCAACCAAATGTTATGAAACTTATACACAATGCTTATTACTACATAATACAGATTAAGTACGAAATTTGGTGGCGACACTTTTACCATTCTTGAGTTATGTCCCTTTATAAACATAAAAATTGCTGAATTTTTCTCTTACTTTAGATTGTCTCAACCAAATGTTATAAAACTTATACACTTCTAGAGTTGTGCGTGTTTACAAATAGAAAAATTGCTGAATTTTAAGTTTCTGTTCTCTACTTAAGTTAGCCTCAACCAAATGTTATGAGACTTACACACAATGCTTATTATCACAAAACTAAGATCAAGTTCAAATTTGGGTAGCGTTACTTTTACCGTTCTTCAATTATGTCCCTTTATATCTATATGATATGCAAGTGGGGGCATCATCTGTGTCCACATGTGGACACTATCCACATTTATTTTTCAATAGAATTTTTTTCAAACTGTCCAAGATTTAATCAAAATGATGTCAAGAGTCATTCCTCAGTACATAGTTTTTTTTTCTCAAAAGCATTTCATGTATGAATGCTTATTTTGTATCTTTTCAGCTTTTGATTTCTGAATCTTTAAACAAAAATATAATTCCCTAATTTAATGCTTTGTGGTATAAAACTTGTCCAATTTTCTTAGATGTTCCTGCATCATTTTCATAACCAAATATAATCAACATAAAAGCTTGATCACTGTTTAAATTATTGTTAGGTTAAAATGCACAAATGATTTACAATACATTTGTAATTGTTTAAGTGAAGCAACACCTAAAGTGGTGATTGTGCGGTAGGGTAAAATCAAGTGGATACCTCTAGGTATTCACAATTGTGTTTGAAAAAGTAAAATTATATCGACTTGAAGACAACAGCACTCATAAATTTCCGCAAAGTAATAGTTTTGATGGTCAACATGTTTCTCCAGCAAGCGTGACGTCTTCAGGACAAGTATACATATGAAATAAAACAGTGAAGAACACATTTTGAGGTTATTGCGGTTAAAGGGAAGTAATGTTGCAATAATTGTTGTTATGACGACATTATAGATAAAAATAGAAAGTGAAAGTTAAATAAGAATAGTTAAGTTGAATAGAAAGTTAAAGTAAGTCGAAGTTATTAACGGTGGTTGGCTGCTATTCACACATGTCTGTATACAGACTCATTGAAGATTCCTAGTGGTATTGTTATGAAGAGATGATGAAAATGGATGATAAAATGTTTGGTTTAATTTCCCTTATGGACAACACCTCACTGGTAATTCTGTACCAATTCAACTGGCTTTTCTCTAAGAGGCACTGCTTCCAATTGCGTAGGGAATATTATGAGGTGCATGATCTCCGCTGGTAAGGGGAATTATAAAATTAGTGGTAGATCTGTAAATATTTAATTTGTTTGTAAAATGTCCATGGATCAAGCTTGGCTTCATTAATGGAGCAGAAGCAGATGTTTTCAGTGCTCTGTTTTCTCAAACAACTCTCATTAGTTTTCCATTTGCAGATTTTCAATTTTGAGTCTTCATTCGCAAGTTTCATGATAAAAATTTACTTTTGGTAATTTTTTCCGGTATGATTTGTATAGAAAATAACATAATTTGTTTTCCTTTTCTGTGACTATCCTGTACCTCATTCATGGTTAATTGACTTTGAATATTTTTCATAACTTTCATGTTAAAGTATTGCTATTTTAATTTCAAATAAAGGCAACAGTAGTATACCGCTGTTCAAAAGTCATAAATCGATTGAGAGAAAACAAATCCCAGTTACAAACTAAAACCGAGGGAAACACATCAACTATAACAACGGAACAACAGAAACACTGAAGTGCAACAAAAACAAACGCCAATGCAACATACATAGAAACAAACTATTTGATAACAACTGCCATATTCCCGACTTGGTACAGGAAATTTTAAGAAAAAATGGTGGGTTGAACCTGGTTTTATGGCTAGCCAAACCTCCCGCTTATATGGCCATGTTAAAAATATCGTTAAAATGACAACATTATGTGACAGGAATACAGTATAAATAAATGCAAGAACACTCTGGACAGAGAAATACATAAATAAATAATATAATAGTACATTTCGACATGTAAACCACAGAATAACAACGAACACCTAAAATTAATTTACGACAGTACACAAATACAGCATAATAGAATTATGAACTGTGCGTCACATGAATGTATCAACATTTGCATTTTACTATCAACATAACAAAAAGGCGAGACATATCTCATTGTTAACAGTTGATTTATTTAGACTTTTAAAAAATCACAAATATCAAAACATAAAATCCTGTCAATTAGAAATTCAGAGAGTATCATCTGCATACAAATGGAAATGGGTCAGAAATGCTTATTTTGGTCGGCTTATTTTGCCCATATAATGCCAAAATTGGAACTTTTACTGAATTTCTATTAAATACAGATGTAATTCCTTTACTTTCTTCGGTTTTACCAGTTGATACCATCAAACCATTCAGGGAAGTTGCCAAAGAACAGAATCATCATTTACTGAATCCATCTATTTATATATATAATTATAGGCAAAAGAGCACAGTTATTTTGAAGTGCATTTCTTTTAGACATTAAACGCAAATTAAGAAAGCTCTGTCTTAAACAGATTTTGACAGTGTATTATGCTACTTTTGGGACAAATTATATCAAAATTATAGAAAAGTCTATCTGCTCTAATTAAAATATGGATAATTTTATGTTAAGAGATATTCAGTTTGACAGCTTCAGACATACTTATTTTTGACCTATTTCAAACTGGACTAAATCACTACCTTACCTAAAGATTCATGACCTATTTTATTTACATGTAATTTCTTACTCTTTTATGCATAAAATAAAGATAGATAAATTTGGCAAGTGTATGAACAAAATTTCAAGTTATACACTGTCCACACGAGGGACTACACATGTATTTGTAGACACTGAAAATCAAAGGACGATAACTGTTTCCCAGAACCATCCCACCGTAATTCAAGTTATCAGATAAAGAACCTATACTTTTTCTTGTAACATTCGTGCTACAATTAAATTTATTTTAAGTGAAGGCCATACAGGCATTCAGTTGTTTATCTTACATGGAATTGTTAATAACAATAACTTATCAGAAACCAAAATCAGAGTGTACATAACCTGATCTGTAGATCAAAAGACTCTGGCAACTATAATTATTATTAACTTTAAATTTAAATGTAATATAATGTACAATTATGTACCATATGTGATATTTCATTTATCATCGATCTAACTTCTTTGGAATCAATATCTTTAATTTTAGGGCTGCTGATTTGCTACTAGGAGGAGCTGTGATGAATAAAGCTTTTCAGCCACATGAAGCACATATACCATATATACTACAGGTGAATATTTAAAAATTAGATTTAAAATAGTGCTGGCCATTCTGCTCATGCCTTTAATGTAGGTGTATTGAAAGGGGATCAAGAAATTAATTTAACTCTGCCACATGTCATGCTCCTGTCCCAAGTCAAGAACTTTATCAGTGGTTGTTTAAGTTGTATTTTTAGCTAATCACTTGGGTTTCGTCTGTTGTTCCTGCCAATCTGAACCAACATGGCCACCATGGATAAAAATAGAACATAAAAAAACAACAGAATTATTCAGACCACCAAGACTACAAATCTGATGGTCCCAGAGAAAATTTGGTGATCCGGTAATTGTACATTTGTACTTGAATTGAACCTTATGCTATGAAGTAGGTTTATCCAATTGGCTCAATATATTAACCTTATCGATGGTTTGGTTCACCGTTGTTTGTTATAAATTTTGGTCTCTGCATTGTTCATTAATTTGTATTCCTTGATTAAATTTATAGCTTTTCATGTTATATGCATCATTCATTATACTAAGACCCATTACTTTGAAAGGTGTATTAAAATGATAGAAATGAAAGAATAAGTTTATTCCTCAGCAGCAAATGTTTTTATATAAACTTTCTTTCAGTGTATCTCATTTCAAATTAAAAATTTTCATAATTTTTATGCCCTTGCAACTGAAAGTTGGCGGCATATTGTTTTACCCCTGTCCGTCAGTCCTTCTGTCCGTTTGTCCCATTATGGGTTTATAGTTATTCAAGATAACTCCTATAGTTTAAATGCTAGGAAGTTTTTGATTTTAATGGTGGGAGGCATCTACCCCCAGCCATCAACAGTTGAAAAGCGTTCACTGCTTGTTTGGTTGCTTTCTCTGCGGCATCCTTTACACAGTTTGATAAGATTTCAAGAGCGTCAGATTCTGGAACAGTACACTTGAATTTAAAGTCCCTCACATTAAAAAGCTGTACAACTTCCCCAACCGTCAATGTTGGAGATTTTATCATGGATTTTTCTAATCCAAATAATTATGAAGTCTTGAAAGGCTATTTTATTTTTTTGCTTTGATGCCATCGCAGTAAGGTGTCAAAGGTCCAAGCAAAAAAATAAAATAGCCTTTCAAGACGTCATAATTATTTGGACTAGGATTTTTCTGGTCACAGCTAGTAAATTCATTGTTCTTTAATCCAAAGTCAGATACTGATTGAGTATAACAATAAAGGTGGTAGAATTTGAAAATGGGCATTTTTTTCTCTTTCCTGTGTGAACACACTTTGACTGAAGGCTATGGCAGTAGGCTGAGTAGCTATGCCGTTTGTTTAGCTTCAATCTATATCATACAAACGTTTACTGTATTTAAAATTTTCATTGAAATCAAACATTTAAATGATGCGAATCAAAGGTTATTCTAAATAAAAACTGTTTCTGGAAAAAAAGTTGAAAAAAAAAAACTATTCGTCGACAATAAAATGTTTCCGATCATGGCTGAAAATGAGGTCGGTCAGGCAACCGGAAACACACATATTTTTTCTTGGCCTGACGTCAATTTTTGGAAAGTATATTTACGTACAACGTGACCATTGGGATCATGACCTTTGACAGACCTAAAATAGCGACGAGAGCTTAAAATAACTTGATGTAGATGTGGGACAATTGGATTTTGCATTTGTTTTTTTAGACGTTTAATTTTGATCTTTCTAATTTAGAAGCAGAGTTTTCTTTTAAATAAAATAAGAATGATTTAATTGTGGAAAATAAAGGAAGTTGTATAAACAATATTTAAAAAGATAGATTGACCTTTTACATGTATTTTAGATTTGAACCGCACACAAGTCGGAAAATACACCGATGTAAATGATATCTACTTTGAGGAAGAATGATTTTTTTACGGGTAAATTAAGAATTGTAACTTTATTAAATAGAAAAGTCCTATTTTTTAAGATAAGAATCGGAAATAAGTCGGCATTTACGCTGCTTTTTTTTTTTTTCAATACAAAATATTTTAAGTGAACATTAATTTTTAATAAATGCAAGCAAATGTTATATTTAAAAGATAGTTGTGGATTGTTTCTGACGATTTTTTACTAAGTATAGCCACCACATTCCCACTTAGTACAGCAGAGGATGTATAAACTACAAAACTTATTCGGTTATTCATTCTGTGTTGGTGTTTCATACCTTCTGCATGTGTTTTGTTTTATCTGAAGGTCCTTCAAATATTAATGGGATGAATATATCTGACAGTATTTCACTAAAAGAGGAATGTTTTAGTTTCAACGTCATATTCTTTAGTGATATCCATTAAGTATGAATTTTCTGCACACTCTCTCCGTATTTGTTTTCGATTTACATGTTCTACTCCAAAATCAGGTTAATGTCAAACAGAACATTTACAATTGTTTTTCTTATGATTTTGGTTACTTTTAACACATGTGAAGTGTTCTAGAATCATTTATAAGCATTTTGGACTGCTACTAGATGATGGAAAACAGGTTTTTCCATGAAAATACTGAAAATATAACGCTATCGAAATATGTGCAGATCAAATATTCTTAACAAGTTATGCCCCTTGGAAAAAATAATTATAACCGTGATTACAGAAATCGCATGGCATTTGATCTGAAGCCTTCATTTCTCTAAGATATTTATAAATTGTTTTAAAGAACAAAAATAAAAGTGTTATTTTTAGTTATTACTCTTTGGAGGACATTGGAACTCTGTTCTTTTATTTAGATTTTTGGTTGCGTCCTTGTCAGCATGGTAAACGTCCTTATCAAAGATATGGAAAATCTTAAAAAGAAAAAGGCTTGTAATTCAAAAACATTATTTGATGTATACTATGATTTTTAATCCTTGCAAAACGGATATTTATCCTTTAAATCCTAAAATGGCAAACCAAAGAATTATAGCAAAAAATGGACTAAGAATTGATTAGCAAAGTTGATTCAGAAAAAAAAAAAAAGAATATACAATATAAACTTTGAAATTTGTTTTCAAAGGGGATTATAATCTACATATTAGGTTTATTTGGCATATGTTACATGTATTTAAAATGCATTGATCAGTTTATATTATAGTTATATGGTGTTTTTATGCCCCACCTAGGGGCATTATGTTTTTCGATTTGTGGGTTCGTTCGTTCGTTCATTTGTCCGTCCTTCCCTTTCGTTCGTCCGTCCGTCCGTCCGTCTGTCCCGCTTCAGGTTAAAGTTTTTGGTTAAAGGTTTTGTTCAAGGTAGTTTTTGATGAAGTTGAAGTCCAATCAACTTGAAACTTAGTACACATGTTCCCTGTGATATGATCTTTCTAATTTTAATGCCAAATTAGAGTTTTTACCACAATTTCATGGTCCACTGAACATAGAAAATGATAGTGCGAGAGGTGATTCCGTGTACTATGTACACATTCTTGTTTAATTTTTTTTTTATTACAGATGTTCATTGACTATAATTTGTATGGTATGAATATGATTAATGTATGTGCAGTCAAATTTAGGAAGCAGAAAACAGATGGTAAGTTTTCTACTTGTTGTGATTTTGTTATCTTTATAAGTCTCAATCTCTTGTAAAATGTAAGAGGTTGGTATGTCTAGACCCTGCAATTAGACACCTATGAAACTAGTGACACAACAGAGGGGCTGTTAGGAAAAAGATGTCAATATTTCTCTTTGCTCTTTATCCTAGCATCTGCAAGGAGAGGCCAGCTCCCAGACCTTCTGTGGATCAGATCAATGCATTAGATGCAGATCTAGAGCTGGCTACATCACTGACAGTGGAGTTCAAAGTTTACATTGAAAACCTATGTGAATTTGCATTTTCATCTTTTTTATGCCCCTGCCGTAGTCAAGGGGGCATGAAGTTTTACCCTTGTCTGTCTTGCTTCGCCTCAAAAATTTGCAAATTGTAGAGCAAAAGAGAAGCTTGAAAAGTAAAGGTGAGCGAGCGATTATTATTTTTTTTTTTTAAACATAAAATCATAGGTTCTGACAATATTGATCAAAACAAGATGGTATGAAACTTGATTTACCACTTGTACTTTGACATTTCTTTAATTTATCAACTGCTGAAGTGTATTTTTTTCCCTGTTCACCAGGACAGGTAATGCCCACTTTTAATTGCAGCATATTTATGACTTCTTGTATTACTGTTACTTTCTGAGGACATCAGATCTTAAACTGAATAATTGAATAATTATTTCAACTACCTTAAATGATCTCCATTGAATTGTCATAGATGACTTTTCACGTTCACCGGAAATGACTTATAACTAGCAACACGGCTGTGTCTTGCAAGAAGCAGGAACTGCTCATCCTTCCAGAACACCTTAGTTCATCCCCAGTTTTTAGGGGTTCGTGCTGTTCATTGATGTGTGTACTTTTTATACGACCGCAAAAAAATTTTGAGGTCGTATATTGGTATGACGTTGGCGTCGTCGTCGTCGTCGTCCGGCGTCGTCGTCCGAATACACAATGGTTTTCGCACTCTAACTTTAGTTTAAGTGAATGGATCTCTATGAAATTTCACCATAAGGTTCAATACCACAATAGGAAGGTGGGGATTGATTTTGGGGGTTATGGTACCAATAGTTAAGGAATTAGGGGCCAAAAAGGGGCTGAAAATAAGCATTTTTGTAACTTCCAGACATAACTTGTGTGTTAGCATATGGATCTCTTTGACATTGTACCACCAGATTCCATATCACAAAGGGTCAATGCTGGATTGATTTTGGGGTTAATTGCCTCAAAATTTTAGGAATAAGGGGCCAAAAGGGGGCAAAAAACAAGCATTTTTCTAGTTTCATGACAATAACTTGTGTGTAAGTGTATGGATCTTTCTGAAATTTTACTACAAGGTTCCATTTCACAAAGGGAAAGCTGGAATTGAGTGTTGTGGTAATTGCCCAAAACGTTTAGTAATAAGGGGCCTAAAAAGGGGTTTAAAATAAGCATTTTTTAGTTTCTAGACAATAACTTGTGTTCAAGTGTATGGATCTCTCTAAAATTGTATTACAAGGTACCATACCACAAAGGCAAGGCTGTTATTGAGCTTGGTTTGGGGGGAAAGGGGGGTGGGGGTGATGAATCATAAGGGGGGCGGGGGTCAAAAAAGGGGTAATTTTTTTTTTTCCTTTTTTTTTTGTTTAAAATTTACATTTTAAGTTAGTTATTTTTTATCACGAAGAGAAAGTAGGAATTGAGTTTTGGGGTTAATTGCTCAAACATTTATGAATAAGGGGCCAAATATTGGTCAAAAATAAGGATTTTTTTAGTTTGCAACAAAAACTTGTGTTCAAGTGTATGGATCTCTGTGAAATTGTATTGCAATGTACCATACCACAAATTGAAGGTTTTGATTGAGGTGGGGGATGATGAATCAAAAGGGGGTTGAAAAAATGTGTGGGAGGTAGGATTTTTTTTTTTCATTTTTTTTTCTTTAAAATTTTCCATTTAAAGATGGTTGTTTCAGATTTATATATGAAAGAAAATAATAATGATACGGTTATATATCATGAGGAATTGAAATTTAAAATTATGTATATTGGAAATTTAAGTTACATTGGAAAGTAATAATTGGCTTTGGGGGGGGGGGGGTGGTGGTTATGGCTCTAATGTTTAAGGAATAAGGGGAAAAAAAAGGTTAAAAAACAAGGGTTTCCATTTTAATAGACAAATAATTGAGTAAAGAACATTATTTAAAAGCAGTGTAAGGTTGGTAATTCAAATTCATTTAAATATCTCATCTACACTGCTTTTAAATTATGTAAATTGGAAATTTGCCAATAACTTTATTGTTAATAAATGCATTGGAAATTTGCCAACAATTTTAGTGTAATAAACTTCATTGGAAATTTGCCAATATAAAATTTTGCTGATGAAGGTTTTTTGTTTACCTTTAGCCTTGACTATGAAGTCATTTTCTATTTTTATACGACCGCAAAAATTAAAAATTTTTTGGTCGTATATTGGTATGACGTTGGCGTCGTCGTCGTCGTCGTCGTCGTCGTTGTCGTCGTCGTCGTCGTCGTCGTCGTCGTCTGGCGTCGTCCGGCGTCGTCCGAAGACACATTGGTTTTCGCACTCTAACTTTAGTTTAAGTGAATGGATCTCCATGAAATTTCACCATAAGGTTCAATACCACGATAGGAAGGTTGGGATTGATTTTGGGGGTTATGGTACCAACAGTTAAGGAATTAGGGGCCAAAAAGGGGCCAAAAATAAGCATTTTTGTAACTTTCAGACAATAACTTGTGTGTAAGTGTATGGATCTCTCTGACATTGTACCACAAGGTTCCATATCACAAAGGGAAGGCTGTAATTGATTTTGGGGGTAATTGCCTCAAAATTTTAGGAATTAGGGGCCAAAAAAGGGGCAAAAAACAAGCATTTTTCTAGTTTCATGACAATAACTTGTGTGTAAGTGTTTGGATATTTCTGAAATTGTACTACAATGTTCCATATCACAAAGGGAAAGCTGGAATTGAGTTTGGGGGTAATTGCCCGAAACGTTTAGGAATTGGGGGCCAAAAAGGGGCCAAAAATAAGCATTTTTCTAGTTTCCAGACAATAACTTGTGTTCAAGTGTATGGATCTCTCTGAAATTGTACTGCAAGGTACCATACCACAAAGGGAAGGCTGGGATTGAGTTTGGGGGTGATGAATCAAAAGGGGGTTCAAAAAATTTGGGGGGGGGGATTTTTTTTTTTTTTTTTTTTCTTTTTTTCCTTTTTTTTTTCTTTTAAAATTTTCCATCTTAAGTTGGTTATTTCTGATTTATATTTAAAAGCAAATAATAATGATATGGTAGGAGATACACACCAAACAGGATGTGTAAATTATTATATAATAAGTATTGTGCAATAGCAAGAAATTTTCAATTGCACAGTATTGCACAATAGCAAGAAATCTTCAATTGCACAGTATTGCGCAATAGCAAGAAATCTTCAATTTAACAGTATTGCGCAATAGCAAGAAATATCCAATAGCACAATATTGCGCAATAGCAAGAAATTGTCAATTGTACAGTATTGCGCAATAGCAAGAAATATTCAATTGCACAGTATTGTGCAAAAGAAGATACTTCGTATAAATTGCTTATTTCTTGATCAATTTCAATGGGGTTTTATTCTTGAATTCTTGGGGTTCTTTAATATGCTGAATCTAACCGTGTATTAAGTTTTTGGATTTTGGGCCCCGTTTTTAAATTGGTCCACATTGAGGTCCAAAGGGTCCAAAATTAAACTTTGTTTGATTTCATCAAAAATTGAATTATTGGGGTTCTTTGATATGCCGAATCTAACCGTGTATTTAGATTTTTAATTTTGGGTCCCGTTTTTTAAATTGGTCTACATTAAGGTCCAAAGGGTCCAAAATTAAACTTAGTTTGATTTTAACAAAAATTGAATTCTTAGGGTTCTTTGATATGCTGAATCTAAACATGTGTTTAGATTTTTGATTATGGGCCCAGTTTTCAAGTTGGTCCAAGTTGGGGTCCAAAATTAAACTTTGTTTGATTTCAACAAAAATTGAATATATGGGGTTCTTTGATATGCTGAATCTAAACATGTATTTAGATTTTAGATTTTTGGCCCAGTTTTCAAGTTGGTCCAAATTGGGGTCCAAAATTAAACTTTGTTTGATTTCAACAAAAATTGAATATATGGGGTTCTTTGATATGCTGAATCTTACCATGTATTTAGATTTTTTATTTGTGGGCCCGCTATCAAATTGGTTCATATTGAGGTCAAAAGGGTCCAAAATTAAACTTTGTTTGATTTCATCCAAAATTGAATTATTGGGGTTCTTTGATATGCCAAATCTAACCGTGTATTTAGATTTTTAATTTTGGGTCCTATTTTTTAAATTGGTCTACATTAAGGTCCAAAGGGTCCAAAATTAAACTTAGTTTGATTTTAACAAAAATCGAATTTTTGGGGTTCTTTGATATGCTGAATCTAAACATGTGTTTAGATTTTTGATTATGGGACCAGTTTTCAAGTTGGTCCAAGTTGGGGTCCAAAATTAAACTTTGTTTGATTTCAACAAAAATTGAATATATGGGGTTCTTTGATATGCTGAATCTAAACATGTATTTAGATTTTAGATTTTTGGCCCAGTTTTCAAGTTGGTCCAAATTGGGGTCCAAAATTAAACTTTGTTTGATTTCAACAAAAATTGAATATGTGGGGTTCTTTGATATGCTGAATCTTACCATGTATTTAGATTTTTTATTTGTGGGCCCGCTATCAAATTGGTTCATATTGAGGTCAAAAGGGTCCAAAATTAAACTTTGTTTGATTTCATCAAAAATTGAATTATTGGGGTTCTTTGATATGCCAAATCTAACCGTGTTTTTAGATTTTTAATTTTGGGTCCCGTTTTTTAAATTTGTCTACATTAAGGTCCAAAGGGTCCAAAATTAAACTTAGTTTGATTTTAACAAAAATTGAATTCTTCGGGCACTTTGATATGCTGAATCTAAACATGTGTTTAGATTTTTGATTATGGGACCAGTTT